AGAGAGAGAGAGAGAGAGAGAGAGAGAGAGAGAGAGAGAGAGAGAGAGTCTTGTATCGTCTGTCTCAATTCTGTCTTTATTTTTCTTGTACAGTTTATATATCCCAATAAAATCTTTCAGGCATTATAAAAATTACAATGTGGTCATTTTGTTTTTCAAGTGAATGAGTACAATAAATAAAGGTAAAAACATTGTTTTTCCTATCCCTTATATGATTAAAACAAAGTCATCCCAATAACCCACATACATTCACATCTAAGTAACTTGTTATAGATTAATAGATTGCAAACAAGCAGGGTATCTTTCTCAGCTAGTTCTTTTATTGGCAGGCAGCATGTTACAGTTACAAGGAAAGAATCAATCACTTTATTACTTATCTTGAAAGGTAATCTTACAAGGAATCTTAAAAGAATCACAAACCTAAACTTATGTATATGAAAAACAATCAGCTCTATTTTCAAATTTTAGGGTGCATACATACTCAGCAACACTATATATATATATATATATATATATATATATATATATATATATATATATGACAAGTTCAGGATGATGAAACTTACAGATCCAGTGATGAGATCTGTGTTACTCTCAGCTTTGGTCAGGGAATCTTTTTTTTATTTCAGTGCATAGAGGTTAATGCAGCGATTTATAGTCAACATGTCTAGTATAAACAGCTGAGTGGCAAGCTATAGATGGATCATTCATACCAATATCTCACCATCCAACGCTAAGGAAAAATATTAAATTGAAGGTAGGAAAAAAAGAGAAATTATGAAATGCTGACTTCTGTACATGCCATACTGCTGCATACACCAACTCATAACAGCTGTGGTTACCTGCACAAGATCAAGATAGTTAACATTTAGCATGAATGAGGAAAGGCTCTAAGGTCCCACTAATATCTGAGGGGCTATGGACAGTTGATGGACACTAAGAGAGTGAACATATTTTTGTGGTTCAGGTACAGCTACTGGTAGGTTTCACATGTCCAAGTAGATGGTTACACAATCATGTGTACATGGGCATCGCTAATTGAACTCGGGGTATTAAAATTTAAAAAAAAGAGGGAAAACATGATGATGGAAAAGAGATGTAATGGAGACACCAAGGAGAGTTAGAGGGAGGTAATGGTGGATGGGCATGATCAAAATAATTGTGTAATAGGATGAAATTTCAAAGAATAAAAATTTTGTTATAAAAAAACATTAACCATATTTAAAGTGGCCAGAAGCTACATTTAGTTAGTTATTTCATGTCTCATACAAGCTCATCATTTCCATAATTGTCAAATGGTCTATTTACAAGCACTTTAGTGGATAATTTCATCCTCAGACTTTTAAATAACCTTTGTTTAATCAAGTGTTTCAACCCAAGATCCTGTACCTTAAGATGCAATGAAGAACTATCCTGGTGCTGGAGCCTCTGTCGCCAAGCCCAGACCATGCTGCTGTTCATCGTGCACTAGCAGTCCCAAGAGGTTCAAAGTCCACCAAGATGGCAACGCTCAAGGACCAGCTGATTGTGAATCTACTTAAGTAAGAACAAACCCCCCAGAACAAGATTGCGGTTTGGTGAGGTTGGTGCTGTTGGCATGGCTTGTGCCATCAGTATCCTAATGAAGGACTTGGCCGATGAGCTTGCCCTTGTTGATGTCATGGAAAACAAGCTGAAAGGAGAGATGATGGATCTCCAGTACGGCAGCCTTTTCCTCAGAACACCAAAAATTGTCTCTCGCAAAGACTATAGTGTGACTGCAAACTCCCAGCTGGTCATTATCACAGCAAGAGGGAGAGAGCCGACTCAATCTGGTCCAGCGAAATGTGAACATCTTCAAGTTCATCATTCCCAATGTTGTGAAGTACAGTCCAAACTGCAAGCTGCTTATTGTTTCAAACCCAGTTGATATCTTGACCTACGTGGCCTGGAAGATAAGTGGCTTCCCCAAAAGCCGAGTTATTGGGAGTGGTTGGATTCAGCTCGGTTCCATTACCCGATGGGAGAAAGACTGGGCATTCACCCGCTAAGTTGTCATGGATGGGTCCTAGGGGAGCATGGAGACTCCAGTGTGCCTGTGTGGAGTGGTGTGAATGTTGCTGGTGTCTCCCTGAAGAACCTGAACCCATAATTGGGCAGTGATGCACACAAGGAGCAGTGGAAGGAGGTTCACAAGCAGGTGGTTGACAGTGCCTATGAGGTGATTAAACTCAAAGGATATACATCCTGGGCCATTGGCCTCTCCATGGCTGACCTGGCTGAGAGCATGATGAAGAATCTTAGGCGGGTGCATCCCATTTCTACCATGATTAAGGGTCTCTATGGAATCAAGGATGATGTCTTCCTCAGTGTCCCTTGTATCCTGGGACAAAATGGAATCTCAGATGTTGTGAAGGTGACTCTGACTTTTGAAGAGGAGGCCTACTTGAAGAGGAGCGCAGATACACTCTGGGGCATCCAGAAAGAGCGGCTGTTCTAAAGTCCTCAGATGTCCTAGAGCTTCACTGTCCAGGCTGCAGCAGGGTTTCTATGGAGACCACACACTGTCTCCTCATCTGAACTGTGTTTATGTTGTTGTGTAAAGATGGCAGTTCCCACAGCTCTGCCCTGCTGCTAAGTGTACTTGTGTAGTGGTAACCTGGTTGGTGTGGCAGTCCCACTGTCGTCCCACTGTCTCTGAGACACACTGCCAACTGTGTGCAGGCTTCGCTTATCTTGGGAGCCTGCTGTGTCTGCTGCGCACCCTCACCAACACACCTAGGCCAGTGAGTTCCCAGTTGGTCATAACTCGGCTCCAGTGGGTAAATCCATCATGCATATTTGTGCACAACTGTTCTAAAGGATATTATTTTGTGTATTATGTGCCTGTAATGTGCATTGAAATACTATATAAAAAGTAAGATGTGCATATGAATGATGCAACCAACTACCCAAGTGTCATGCCAATGAAAACACCAAATAAACCTTGAACAGTGAAAAAAAAAAGAACTATCCTGATAAGCCCTATCCAACATTTTCAAAAGCATAGTAATATGGTGATTAATTAATTCAGTCAGGACAAATTTTCAGAAAATAATTGTGTAGCACATGAATATTAATAACATTTTGTCTCAAATTTTCAAATTCCTTTTACATAGAATAAAGATATATAGGATATCTTCATTTCATTCACAAAAATAGTTAGACTTAAATCTTTTGTAAAACCTTCTTACAGGTTTTACAAAAACTGAAAATACTTAATCAATATTCTAAATTAATGAAACAAATGGAAGGTCAATATTATATAATATTACATATTATATAAGAATATATAAGATAATTCAGTTGTTGCATCTCTTTCCAAAAATAGCCTATAATTCAGTGACAGTAAAAAAAAAAAGTAAGGAGGTACACATGTACTACTAAAAAGTTTTAATAAGATACATAACTCAAAAAAGACATGCTGGAAGAATTAACTAACATATCTTTGACCAAAGAAACATCTAATTATACTAGATAGGCACAAACTGAAATGTTTGGAAAGGGAAAAGGACTGTGAAAGAGGGTATTTTATTTACTCAGGTAAGAAATTTATTATTAAATATTTTTATGGTTACAGATGTATAGGAGCTCAGATGAAGCCATGAAGAAAAATGACTTTTTAAGTATTGTCATGAGGGCCATAGTGGTATACCCCTTAAATCTCAGCACTCAGAAGGCAGGGGCAGGTGAATCTCTGTGAGGTCCAGGCCAGCATGGTCTATAGAGTGAGTTTCAGGAAAACCAGTGCTGTTACAAAGAGAAGCACTGTCTTAAGAAAAACAAAAATGAAACTTAAATATTGTCATGAGATTAAATTCTAGTATAAACAGAAGTATAAGAAGATACCAACAGGAAAGAACAAGTGTATGAAGAGGGAACAAGAAATTTTAAAACAGTGTCCAGGATCACTAGGACAGTAATCATCAGAGACATACAAACCATAGAGAACAAGCCACACTTTATACAGGAACAACACGTTCTATCCTTAGGGAATAAGAGGTAGCAAGAAACTAGTATTGGAACTAGCTACCAAGAGTGTGAAAAAACAAGGAAGTCAGGATGATTCAGACAGAAATGAGACCAGAGAAATGAGTGGGTAAGAGTGTATATTCTATGACAAACCAGAGATGTAAAAAGAATTTGGCTTTGTCTTGAGTGAGAAGTAAAGACTTTGGAATAGTTTAGAGAAAACTGATACTACTTAATTTATATTTTAAATTACTCTAATTGAGAAAGAGGAAGAATTCTAGAGAACCTGAGAGAGAAAATATAGGTATAAAGCCAATGAGAGGCAAGGAAAAATGTGATTCTAGAGTAGGATGTCCTTAGGATACAGACAGGAAGGGGAGGGGAGAGAGAAAAACACACCTGCTGTGGATATTGCTCTGTATAAATAAAATGCTGATTGGCCAGTAGCCAGGCAGGAAGTATAGGTGGGACAAGGAGAGAGAATTCTGGGAACAGGAAGGCTGAGTCAGAGAGATGTTACCAGCCACCTCCATGATGAGAAGCAACATGTTAAGATACTGGTAAGCCATGAGCTACATGGCAATTATAGATTAATAGAAATGGGTTAATTTAAGATATAAGAACAGTTAGCGAGAAGCCTGCCACAGCCATACAGTTTGTAAGCAATATAAGTCTCTGTGTTTACTTGGTTGGGTCTGAGCAGCTGCAGGACTGGTGTGTGAGAGAGATTTGTCCTGATGTTGGGCCAGGCAGGAAAACTCTAGCTACACACACCAGTTGAATATACTATACCATATTGTCATCCATGAAAACACATATACATTTAACTTTATACAGACTGAGCAAACTGTATTTATAGATTTGGAATATGTATACATGAAAAAATAATTAGTACAAAAGCAGACATGAATTTGAAAAAAATGTAAGGGTGAATTTATGGGAAAATTTGGAAGGATGGAAGAATGACATATTATAATTTAAAAACTCAAATAATAATTCTAAAATGCATGGATTAACTCTATGGAGATGGTGTGACATGGTTGTGCTAGGAGGACTGAGTGGTGAATTATAGATACATCAAAACATTTGTTGATAGTTAAGAACATTTGTTGGTGGATTTGATATGGTTCATGAGAAAAACAGAGAGGACAAGGATGATCACCAGGCTGTGTTTCTCTGTTTCTGGGGGTGTGAAGTTACTTTTCAATGAGAGGAAGGTAATGGAACGAAAAGCAGTAGCTGTTGTGTGGTGGGATCAAAATGTGTTGGTTAAAGTATGTCAACTCTAAGACATAACTTCCACATGAAACTGGAGTAGTGGAAGTGATGGTTGATTACATGAATCTACTTTTAGTTAAAATTTTGTACTATTTTTCAAGACATGGTTTCTGTGTATAGCTGTGGCTGTCCTGGAGCTTGCTCTATAGACTGGGTAGGCCTTGAACTAATAGATCTGCTTCCCAAGTGTTGGGATTAAAGGCATATACCACCATCATCTGGGTTGATTACATGAGTTTAAAGTTTAGAGATAAGATCAAGATTGGATTTAAAAACACATAAGCCAGATGAGACTACAAAGTGCTATGTTTAATTTTAAAAAAGGATGGGTTAGAGAGAGGTGGTGTTAGAGAATTTAAAACATCAGTTTGGGTTTTGTTATTTGTTTGTTTGTTTTTATTTTTATTTAAACAGATTCTCACGGTTTGAATGAGAATGGCCTTCATGGTCTCATATACTTGCATGTTTAGTCTCCAACTCCTGAGATATTTGGAAAGGATTAACAGGTGTGTCCTTGTTGGAGAAGGCAGTAGGCTCTGGGTTTCCACACACCCCTGACAGGACAATCTCTGTCTCTCTCTCTGCCTGCTGCCTGTGGATCAGGATGGAAAGCTCTCAGATATGGCTCCATGCTACGGGCCACAGGAAAATATTATAAGAACTCAGCCGGTTATGGCAAAGCCACTACCTGAAGGGATCAAGGAATTCCTTCAGAGGAAGCCAAATTCCAAGGAGCTTTTGGGGTTACTTAGCTTGTTATATATCAGCTGTCTTCTGTTATGAAAATTATGTGTGCCTTCATAGTTTTCCCAATTGATTTTTCCCTAAGAAGGGCTAACAGTGTGGACTAATTACTCTCTGGACATACATATTCAAGGTATTTGGAGAACAGCCTCAGGAAAGGTTTCCTTCTTCCCAGCCCATCTGTTTCTCCCTTTCAGCACTGGAATCAGATATCTTCCTTAGCCACTTTCAAGGACTAACAGAAATAATAGTGGACATGCTAGCCTTATTAACTTTATAGACCCCTAACTTCTTACCTAACCACTTCTAGGAATGTAGACTGAGCACACAGATCTCTGTTTTCATATACTAACTGGACATTAGCACTCAGTTGACCTCTTTTACTACTCTCATTTTGGATTGTAAAAGAAAGCCTGGTAGTCACTGACTGAGGAAAATTCTTACGTACCTTTATGACCCTGTAGAATTCAAGCCTGGTGACCTTGCTTGACCAGGGGATTGATATTGCTTGGGTTTTTAACTGAACTCCTGTAAGACTTGGGGCGTGTTAAGAGGTACATGGACAACTGAGAGAACTTAGAGATGGAGAACAGAGAGGGATAAGAAGAATTTTAACCAGAGAGAATGTGTGAATGAGATGGCAGATGAGGAAGAGTCAGATGGGGAAGTAATAGCTGGGTAAGAATGAAATGAAAAGGACCTAGATGAGGCAGAATTAAGGTGAGAGAATTAAGATAGAACTTAGAGTGAACATAGAGGAAATAGAGATGAATATAGAGGAAAAAAAGGCAAGAAAGGAGCTAAAAGATAACAGAAGCTTGTGGAGAGAGAACTGACACAGAATAATGAAGTGTATGGACTAAGGAGTTTTGTGTGCATAAATTCATTTCTTCTCATCAAAGATTTGTAGCTAGAGTTTTCCTGCCTGGCCCACAGTCAGGACAAATCTCTCTCACTCGCCAGTCCCACAGCCGCTCAGACCCAACCAAGTAAACACAGAGACTTATTTTGGTTACAAACTGTATGGCCATGGCAGGCTTCTTGCTAACTGTTCTTATATCTTAAATTGATCCATTTCCATAAATCTATACCTTGCCATGTGGCTTGTGGCTTACTGGTACTTTACATCTTCCTTGTCCTGGTGGCTGCTGCAGGCAGTCTCCTTCTGCCTTCCTGTTCTTTTATTTCTCCTCTCTGTTAGTCCCGCCTATACTTCCTGCCTAGCCACGGCCAATCAGGTTTTATTTATTGACCAATCAGAGCAACTTGACATACAGACCATCCCCCAGCACAGCCAAGTGCAGACCATCTCAGACACCTGCACTCAGGCCCGTGGTCCTAATCATCCTCTATGCGGACCTGCTGGGTAAAGCCATGAGGAACCCAAGAACAGGCTCCCACAGGACATACAGAACATCCCACAGCAAAGATTAATTATCAGCTGGTTTTAGATTCTTCCAGGACTCTGGGAGGGGACTATTGAGGGGATGGACCCACCCCCACCAGTCCCCTATAGCTCCAGTACCATGCCTGTTGGCTTCCCACCAGGAT